GTCGTCGATGCTTGGCCACGAACAAGGTGGATACTTGAACGATACAAGCTCAAGATCAAACCTAGATTCGGCTAGGTTAATCCCTCAATCCACAAGACAAGATCTTATGAACTCAAACACTCGGTTTGTTATTCAATTGAGCAAAAACGGAAGATTACAATAAATCGAAGCTACTTAAATATACCTGGCTAATCCTACAACTCTTAGAGAAGTTCTAAACGCATTACAATTGGAAAAGTAAATCAAAACCAGCAATGAAAAGGAATTAAACATAAACAACAAAGGAATCCTAATCCGATAAGGATTCGGATTGCCTGTTTTCCAAAGACAGAAACTCAGCCTCGATATGATCTTTGGAGCTTTTGTTCGAGCCCTTCCCATCTTTATTTTAGTCACCCAATGCCACGTCGTTGTAGTAGAAGATGCATACTTTCATGTGGTAAAAACCTTGAAGCTTGACTCTTGCTTAAACTTGTCAAATTGAGCTCCAAAGTACCCTTCCTGAACAATCCTCCTGCCTTAGCCAAATTCTGGCAGTTTCTTGGTTTCAGCAAATGGTTTTGGAAGGCTTCAAAACTGCATCACCTAGCTTCCTTTCGAGCTGCCAAGCACTTCAATGTGTAGAGGAAACCTCCGGCTTCAATACAAGTCTTGAAATTCAAATTTCCATCACGCCAATAAAACTTTCTAGACGTGCAAAGTAGGGCACCTAAAACAAAAAAGTAACTTAGCCAATTTTCAAGTTCTTTCTTACAACTCAACATAGCACCTTTGGCATTTAATGGTGACTAAGGAGGGATCCTTTTAGGATCATATCACTAGAAACAAAATTATGTTTGCTAATGAAAAGATGTCAAGTTTAGTGAACCATCAAGTATCAAAGATAGATTGAAATGGTAAGATACTAGGATTGAAACAATATACTTTCAGGTTTTGTTCTCATAGACTATTATGGTTATGACGTTGTTATAAGAGAAAATATTTGGTCGGGGCCATCAATTGGGCTTTGCGGAGTGGATAGGGTGCTAACACCCTTAAGTGTTAGCACCATACTAACACATTTATTGAGGGTATTATAGTATATTTCCTTCTCCCTTCCCCTTCCCTTCTCATCTCCTTCCATTTATGTAGTTTTTTTTTTTTTAGAAAGACAGACACTAAGGCGTCTAATACATTGATGAAATGCGACAGTCGTGAGAGACCCCCACGACATCATGGTACAACCAATGTTTCAGTCCTGGGTCCCACACATCGAAGGGATGTGTGCCAAAATCAGAGAGGTGACCCCTATTAGCTAAGTAGTCCGTAGCAAAATTAGCTTCCCTATACACATGCTCGACTTTCACATCCCAATCAAGATTCAAAAGAAAGTTAAACTGATTAGTGATTAGCGAAAATGTCGTACCGATGATTGTCATCCATGTAGTTCTTGATGACAGCAACAGTTGTGGAAGAGTCCAGATAAAGTTGGACTTTCTTGTGACCCTTCCTGCAGGCCATACAGAGTCCTTCAACGGCTCTTTTCAGCTCAGTGCTGGTTATGGAACATACTCTAAAGTTGCAGACGAAAGCATCATAGCACTTGCCTTGATGATCTCTGGTCAATCCTCCCGCTGTAGCTTTGCCTGTGGGTGAGAGAAGAGATCCGTTGTGAACTTGTACCCATCCTTCATCAGGGGGTCTCCGTTGCTTTTCTAGGTTCCATTTACAAATTACAATATTGGTACATGAACTTAATAGGTATTAATATTTCGTACCTAAAATTATTTTTTTACATTCTGGTACTAAAAAAAACGATGGAAAATTATATTTTAGTATTTAAAAAATTTTCCCTTACATTTTGGTACCTAAACTTCTTAAAATTTACAAATATGTCCACTACTTGTGGCATGCTTTGTGGACTTGTGGGTTGTGGCATGCTTTGTCCACTACCCATTATTGCCCCGGCTCCCGGTGCCAGGTCTTCACCTCGGCCCCCAACGCCGGGTCTTTGCCACCCGTTTGGTTCCCGGCGCCCGGGCTCGTTATTTATCTTGGTCCCCGGCTCCCGAGCTCCGGCCTCCTCCCGGCGTCCAGGCCCACTATTGCGCTGTCTTTCAAGCGCCTTGGCCCGTTACTCCTAGTCACACACACTATTACCCGGGCTCCCAGCGTCGGGCCTTCGCCTCTCGTCCGGTTCCCTACGCCCGGGCTCGTTATCTTTCCTTGTCCCCGGCTCCCAGCTCCATCCTACTCCCGGGCCCACTGTTGCCATGGCTCTTGGCGTTGGGTCTTCGTATCCTGTCTGGTTCCCAGATTCCAGGCTCGTTATCACTCTCGTTCCCCGCCTCTCGGGCTCCGCACTCTTCCCGATGCCTTGGCCCGGTATTTCGCCCGAGCCTGATATCGCCTCCGACTCCTGGTACCCGCCGGCGCACTACTGTGCATGGCCCACTATCGCCCCCAGCAACCGGATCCAAAAAGACTCCCCCCACCTTGATCCATATCTTGCTACCCCCTCTAAAAGTGTCATGCCCTCTCTTTAATCAATCTCCATGTGGCAAGGGTGTTTCCATTAGGCAAAAGCATGGTTGAAATGTGTACAACCACGTGGCGGGCGCATGTGTGCATAGACGACACATGTCAAGTGCCATGTCCTTCTTTCATCTCCGGCACCAACACTTGTCCTCCCGTTGTCCCCCAGGTACATACTATATAACTTGCTCATGCTCTCCAGTGAAAGGTAAGACAAGAGACCAGGGGAAGTATCTTGAGAGCGCCTGCTGTAACCAGTGACTCTCATCCCGGGCTCACCTCCTGCAAACACCTTGTAAACTATTCAATCCCTAACACTAGGGTATAACTTGAGCATCGGAGGGTGCCCCCACCGAGATCGGCCGGTGGGTCCTTTTTTGCAAGAAGCGATCGGAGGCAACATAATGAAGTTAGGTTATGATTAAGGGGCACTTCAAAATCGCTTCGGGGCACAAGATTGAAGAAGTCGGCATTAGCTACAATAGGTGCCCACCGTGGGGCCTCGAAGTAAAGCTTGAAGGATACCTTATATCAACTCTCTGTTCGTGATGGAATCCAAAATCTCCTAACCAGCTGGGGGAAGTCAAGACAAATAAAGATCCGTCCAACCTTCTATTGAGGAACTCCAAACTCAAATCGAACAACTCAATGCACAAATCAAGATGTTGACCTCAGCTCCTCCTCCTACTGGAATAAATGGTAGCTAAGTCAACAACAAGAAACCCCTGGTGGGTCCATCCAGCCAAATGGGACGTCGGCTCCGCTCAATACCTCCCGGCCAGACCTCTCCTATTACGAGGCTCATCTTACGCCAGACTTCCTCGATGATCCCGGTCAGGAAAGGCCCCTCGCCAGACTATTCTCGAGCAGCCTAATCCTTCAAATTTTCAAATGTCGCACCACCTGCTAGAATACTATGGGACTTCTTACCTAGAGGATCACCTTAGCGCATTTTAGATTCTGATGCCCTACGTGGGGGCATCTGACGCTACTATTTTCAAGCTCTTTCCGGCCATCTTACAGGGGTGCATTTCAATGGTACACCTAGTTGCGCAATGGGTTAATCCACAACTTTGAAGAATTTGCCACCCTCTTCCTTGCCAAGTTATTCGCTCAGAAAAGACTTAACGTGGATTTCTCTCACCTAATGAACACTAAGCAAAGAGAATATGAGACCCTCTAAGAGTATAACGCCCAGTTCAGTACGATTATTTTTGGGGTAGCCACTCTCTCCATAAAGAATGTCATACATGCCCTCATATTTGGCACCAACAACGCCCTCCTCTGAGCCTCACTCATAAAGCGCCACCCTCGCAACATGATGGATCTCCAATAACGAGTTTTTAATTACATCACCCTTGACGAGACTCTGCAGGAGGGAGCCCCACATAAGAGAGGTTGCTCACCTCCACCTAAGAGGAAGCATAATTCCCCCCTCAAAGAAATGAGAATTCACCCTGAGCACGTGAGCGCCCACGTGGTTGTTCGCCTCCTGCTTCTGAAAAGGGAGGTCGCCATGATGCTTGTCGAGAAGGTGTTGAACCCAAGGAGGAAATCCCTCACCCCCCTCACAGAACCACACAAAAACATTTTGCAGATCATTCAATAGAACAAAATCCCGATTGTGTGGCCAGCTTCAATGATCAAGAAACCACAAAAGGGGAAGGACAAGTGTTGTGATTTCCATAGGGGTTATGGTCACGATACAGAACGTTGTTGGACTCTAAAGAATTCCATATAAGATCTTGTTCAAGAAGCACATCTAAAGACATACATTGAAGGTTCAACAGAATGCTCCCGAGACCCTCTACACACGGATTGAGGCAAAACTCTTCAGAGTACTGTTTTCTAGGGGTCGTCGATGTCCTCCATGGGGGAGTTAGCCTCGGGGGTATACAAAATAAACCACCTCCGGAGAACGCCCAGTCTATGATAGGCTCCACCTCCGCAACAGCAGCAACTCCTCCAATCTCATTTGAACGTCGGCCCGCCTAGCTGTGCTCTCAAACAACCATTTTGCCTCTCCTCCGAGACTGGCGTACGCCAATGATTGAATACCTTCAGCATGGCATCCTTCCGGCCAACCATAAAGAGGCAGTTTGCTTGAAGCGTTGGGCACCTTTATACATTATGATCGGGAGCGCCCTATACCGGAAGAGTTTTGCAGACCCTAATCTCCGGTGCCTTAGTGTGCGTGAGGCCCACTTTGCTCTCCAAGAAGTTCACCAAGGGACATGCTCCATGCATGCAGGCCCGCATAGTATTGAAAAGACTCTCCTCCTTTAAGGGTATTACTAGCCTACAATTTGCAAGAATTCCGTGAGTATGTTAAGGTATGCACCAAGTGTGAAGTAGCCTACTGAGTATTCCATGCACCCATGGCATCAATGTAAGGTAACTTCAGTCCTTGGCCTTTCGCCCAGTGGGGAATGGATTTCCTCGGTCCTTTTTCCGAGGCCCCTAGGAGAAAAAAGTATCCGAGCTATCAACTATTTCACCAAATGGATAGAGGTCGATGCTCTAACCGACATGACCACCCAACAGGTTGTGAAGTTCCTATGGACCAACATCATTTGTCGGTTCAGCCTCCCTCACACCATTGTGTTGGACCAAGGAACACAATTCAAGAGTCAGGACCTCCAGACGTATTGTGCCTAATATGGCATTCTCCTTCAATACACATCTGTCTACTACCCTCAGGCCAACGGTCAGGCGGAGTCCGCCGATAAAAATATGTTGTGGGGACTAAGAACCCGTCTAGACGACGTCAAAGGGAAGTGGGTTGAAGAGCTTTCCCATGTCTTGGGGGCTCACCGAACCACCTACAAGACTTCCGTGAGAGATACAACGTACCCGCTCACTTATGGAACCAATGCGGTGTTACACATCGAAATGGAACTATCTTTATATCGAGTCAAAGCCTTCCGCTCGGATGCAAACAATGAGGAGCTCACCCACAACCTCAACCTTGCTGAAGAACGTCAAGTAGATGCTCGGCTACGCCTGGTTGCTAGCTAAGAAAGGGTCGCTCGATACTACAGTTCTAAGGTTAGAGAGTGACCTCTCCAGGTTGGGGATTAGGTGTTTCGACAAAATTTCTTCCACGAGGAAGGTCTATGGAAGTTCACGCCCAAGTGGGAAGGCCCATATAGGATAAGAGAAGTAATCAGTCCCAACATGTTGAAGCTAGGAGATGTCGATGGTGAAGACATGTATAAAATCTGGAACGCCATGCACCTACGTAGGTATATCACACCCATGTAATAAAAGCACTCGAGCTTAGCAAAGTTTATAATAATAAAAGCATGCTTCGTGGATTACATCAGAAATTCCAAATTGATAAAGAACACATAAAACAACAACTAAAGCAAACAAAGCAGATCGAGTACCACGACTCAAGCACACGCTGGAGGATCGGGTCCCAAGGCAGAGCTCGGGCCGGTGGCATGACCGAAACCATGTGGTGTTCCTGAATAAATTGGGATCCTGGCATTTGGAGGTCGGGCATATAGTTCCCGATGAAATTCTACAAGTCGTCAACCTCAGCATCATCCATCATCCTCCCCTCCAACATACTCGGGGGCATCCACAACATATCCAGCCTCCCTCTCCGCTTATGTCGCTGTGGCCACTTGCTCTGCCATTTTCCTCTTAAAATCTGCCTCGCTAAGAGGAGACCCGGGGGTGAATCTCATTGACTATGTCTCGGGAGTAAAAGTACAGTCGGGAAAACGCCTTCTTCTTGGTTCTCCAAGTCTTGTCCCTTTTAATCCTAAGCCTCTGGGAAATCCCACACTCCCTCCGAAGGGCCTCTCTCACCTGGGCCAGAGCTCCGCCCTTCTGAATTCGCATTTCGCCCGGGTGATCTCCTACTTTACTCGAGCGCTCTCCTTCTCTGCAGAGGCGCTCTCCCACTCCGCCCACTGGGATTCTCCTTCTGTCCTCTCCCTCTCTATAATCAGCTCCTCTTGAGTATGACTCTTTGCAGCTCAGGCCTCCCCCAACTTCTCCATCGCCCTCTGAAGTCGCCTCTCTAGTTGACGGATTCGTGCCACCCGACCTGCAGACGTCTCCCTATCCTCTGCCAATCGCTTCTCTGCTTCAGCTATTGCTCGAGAGGCCTTGTCGATCCTCTTTGCCACTAATCTCATTCGAAGATGGGAAGACACCGACTCCTTCACCACCTGCAAATGAACGAAGATCAGTAAAGCTCACCTAGTACGATGTAAAAATTACTTGAGAATTTTTTACCTGGTAGAAAGACTCGGTCATCTCCCGAGTGTCACTATGATTAATATCGAGGGCCTCCAAAAGGATTTGTGCTACAGAACCTCCGATGGGGGATGAAAATGGCGACACCGAGCTAGAAGCTCTTGCCTTACCCAAAGTTGGGTTTTCGGGAGTCGCGCCCACAAGGGTTGGAGACGTCCACCTGGTAGGACTTGTAGTAGCTCTCCAAGATCCACCACTAGCCTGGGAGCCCGAGCTCCCGGACGACCTCTGAGTGATACTCACCCAGGCGCAGCCTCCCGAACCAGCGGTGAACCGAGAAGGACTTGATGAGTCAACAATGATCCTCTTCTTGTGGACCCGTCAACCTTGATAGCTATCAAGTCCTTTAGAATCCTGAGATGGGAGCTCGTGAATCTCCACTCCTCGTGATCGAGATACGTGTTGACCTATACCTGGAGCTGCATCACCTTGAACAGATTCCATGCCGCGAAACAACCACTTAACAACCATAGCACGTGAAAAGAAAATGGCTTAGTTAGCAAGGAGAGCAAGAATTCTAGAATGGCAAAACCTATTATACGAAGAATCCTATTACCTTTGTACCCTCCGAATAAGCTTGGATTATCAGCTACCTAATATGTTCTTGGTTAAGCAGTTCGGTCGGGGGCCCACTTAAAACCCGACCGAAGTCCATAGGAACGTTGGGTGCCTTAAGAAGTTTCCTTGGATTCTCAATCCCACTTTCATCCGGAAGCGGATCGCCACCTTCCGTGAGTCCCCCTGACAGAGGGGAGAAGAAGAAGAAAAACTTATCATACCAGCCCTTTTGTTTTATCTTCATCACAGACCCGAAAGGGGAACACTTTGGATTTGGGCACATAGAAGCGACGCTCCAAACACCAAGAGGTACTATCCGAGGAAACATGACGAAATCTGAAAGATGCATAGAACAAATCTTCGATAGGGTTTATACCCTTCACCTTGTAGCGAGAAATAAACACTGCCACTAATGTCCAGAATGTGGGTGCCACCAAACAGATGGCCAGGCTAGCATCTCCCATCACCTTGCTTAGCCACTTGGACAAGGGGACACAAAATCCGTAGCAGAGTTAGTCATAGAGAATGCAATGTCACCGGGACCCACAAGAGTCATCATGCCACGAGAGAGCATACTCCCACTGCTCTAGCTTAGCATACGATGCCAGAATATCCTGCAGATCCACCATCCTCTGTGTTAAGTCCTCAGCCGTCCAACATCCCGGTATAAGTCTCCCGCCACATCATCCTCCGAGAAAGTCTCGAACAAGGAGCTCACACGGTATCTAGCCCTAGCTCCTATTCTGACTGGCTCGGTTGACCAAGGTATCCACCTGTCACCCTGGGTCGCAAACGGTGCAGGGGCAAACCACCCTCCTCTAGACGCGGGGACGATTTGTATCGGAACCGCCATCTCCTCCCACGAAGTCACCTCATCCTCCTCCGACGGGACAACTCCTCCTCTTGAGCAATCCCAACTCGACATCACTCGCCGACATGCCATAACTGAGATGCAAGAGAAAAAATAACTAAGTAATCCTACCCCCCACTTGCAAGCATACTACGTAATGCTGGGGGAGGGGACAAGATATCGTACCTAACACGATCAAGTCTCCAACAGAGCATCCAAGCTAATTTTCGCATTGCCACTGCCTGCTAACTAACAAGTTTTCTCTCAGTGAAGGAAAGGGAGAACTCAGAGAAGAATGAAGTGAAGAATGAAGAAGGGAGAACAAAGCTATTTATAGGAGAATGAGGTAGGGCTGAAAATTCCATTGACCCGTCCCTGACCCTGTCCGTCCCATTCTTGAAGGGTCAAGATGTATAATTGATCCGTCCCGTCACTGTTTCCTTCTTGACCTTGCCTGACCCTTAAGGGTAGGGATGTGCCGAGACAGGCCGGGTCAGTGGTTCAACCCTAATTTACACACTACTTTTTTATAAATTATGTTTTGGTACCCAAAATTATTTTTTCTTACATTTTAGTACCTAAAATTTATTTTCTTTACAAATAAGTCTTTAAATTCAGATGGTAAAATTACATTTTGGCACTCAATTTTTTAAATTATTACAATTTAGTACCAAACTTTTAAAACTTTTACAAAGAGTTCCAATATGGTATGAGATATTTGTTGTTGCTAAAGGTCACAGGGTCAAAAGTGACCCGTTCCTAAGTTGACCCGACCCGTCCTAACCATTTTAGGGTCAAAAACTGACCCGTCCCTAAATTGACCCTATAGAATAATTGACACATCCCGACTCTATGTTTTTAGGGTCAAACTTACACCCCTAGAATGAGGGGTAGGAAAAAAATGGAAGAGAGAATTTTCTCTTCTAAAAGTCTAAGGTTTCAATAAAAATGCACAGTCTACTATTACACTCACGGGAATCTAGAAAAATGAAGGCCAAATTCATAGGGCGGGAAGATTCTCTCCCCAAATTCAAAACTTATGCACTTCCCAAACGATTTTCACCAATATTAAAATGAAAAAAATATAAATACAAAAAATATTTAGTTTTCTAATAAGCTCCAAGATTATATTTGTGTATTAATAACGAGTTACACCATGCTTACCCCCGAGAATCTTTACATTCCCGCTGGCAATGGGGCAATTGATATACCCGATGTAAAAATATATTTACTGCCCCAGCTCACCATCTGGTTAAACAATGCATCATTGCACCTGTGCCGACAATCGAGCACGACCCAGGACTATCTCCATTGAAATATTGGGCCAGACCCGTCCGGCTTCTGTCGCTAAACAATTGTGCTATGGCCCGCCAACAATTCCTCCCTTCGAGCTCGGCTTCCCTCGATGATTTATTGTACCCAGACCTAGTGCCCAACCAGTTATCGCTCTCAGGCTCCGCCCTTTTCCCGGTGCCCGGGCCCACTATTACCACGGCTCCCGGCGCTGGTCTTTGCCACCCCTCCGGTTCTGTCACAACCCGGAATGAAGTCTATATCCGTGACAGTTCCCAGCGCCCGGGCTCGTTATCGATCCTCGTCCCCGACTCCCGGGCTTCACCCTCCTCCTGGCACCTAGGCCGACTATTGCGCCCGAGGCCTGATATCTCTCCCGGTCACCGGCTCACGAGCTCCATCCTCCTCCCCCATTATTGCCCGGCTCTCGGAGCTGGGCCTTCGCCTCTCGTCCGGTGCCCAGTGTCCGGGCCCGCTATTTCCCCGACTCTCGGTTGTGGGTCTTCTCTTCTCCTCTGGTTCCCGGCGCCCGGGCTCGATATTGCCCCCAAATCCCAGCGCCTAGGCCCAAAATTGCCTTTCACTCCTGGTACCCGCTTGCGCACTACTGTTCCCGGCGCCCGGCACCCAAATCCACAAAGACTCCCCCTCATTGATCTATGGCTTCCTCTCCCCCTGTACATGTGTCATGCCCTCTCTTCAATCAATCTCTATGTGGCAAGGGTGATCCCATTAGGCAAAAACATGGTTGACATGTGTACAACCATGTGGCGGGCACATGTGGGCATAGATGACACATGTCTAGTGACGTGTCCTTCTTTCATCTCCGACACCGACACCCGTCCTCCCGTTGTCCCTCAGGTAGGTACTATTTAACTTGCTCATGCTCTCCAGTGGAAGGTAAGGCAAGAGACCCGGGAAAGTACCATGATAGTGCCCGCCTTAATCAGTGACTCTCATCTCCCGGACTCACCTCGTGCAAACACCTTGTAAACTGTTCAATCCCCGACATAAGGGTCTAACTTGAGTGTCGGCTGGCGAGTCTTTTTTTGAAGGAAGCGATCAGAGGCAACATCACGAAGTATGGTTACGATAAAGGGACACTTTAAATCACTTCGGGGTCCAAGATTGAAGAAGTCGACGTCGGATACAACCCTAGCATCAACAGTGCCCTCTTTTAACTTCCCTCTCATTAGTTATGGTCATCTCATTTAAATAAAAAAGTCATCCAAACGAAATGTTGTGATTGGCTATAGCTAGGGATGACAATGAGTCGGGTTGGGGCGGGTTATGCAGAACTCAAACCCAAACCTATGGGTTTATTCACCAATAAAACTCGGGGCAAAACCCACTGGGTTTGGAAAACTCAAACCCAACCCAACCCATTGGGTATCCGCAGGTTTATGGATACCCATGGGTTCATATACAAAGATGCAATTACACTAGGCTAAATTGCAAGTTTGTTCACGAGAATTAGTTAAAAATGTCATGTTTGCCACTAAAATTAATTTATTTCATCCGTAGTCAATTAAATTAGGTTAAGAGTTCGGGTTTGGTCACTGCGTTATTCTCTGTTAATTTTTGTTGATGTGGTGGTCAACTCTCATAGTTGACCATGAAATGAGCGACGTGGTAATTAAAAAATAATAAAATAAATTATTTTAAATTTTCACCTAATTATAATAAAATTAAAAAAAAGAATATTCTAATTCTTTTAATTATTATTTTCCATCGCTAGAGCGTAGTCATTTCTCTCTCCTCCGTCGCAGATACTATTCCTTTAATTCTTGACATCTCTAACAACAACCTTTCCGGTAAAGTCCCTCCCCTCTCGCTTCCTCCTCCGTGCTTGAGTTAACCTAGCACGGAAACAAGTGGCAGTAGCCACCACCGAAACAAGTGTCGATGGTCGTGGTGGCGGCCGTTCGCCGGATCCGTCGTTGTGTAGGTTATGTCACCGGAGACTTGGGTATTGGGCGGAGAAGACCAGACTAGAAAAAAATTTCTTCTGATCCTTCGACGGACTGCAACTGCAAAACTTAGTATCATCTTCTTCACTAGCGAGGTGCTTTCCCACGTTTTTCTTACTTGCACATTTACATGACATGATGAGACAAGCTATCAGTCGGCATATCTCGAGCACGGAGGACTGGCCTTGCTTTTGCCTCCTCCTTCGCTTGATCCATCCAAGTTGGTGGAGTTTGACCCGGCGCCATGCGGGGAACTCGATCCATCAGAGCTAGGAATATCCTTCCCAAGTAGCGCATTTCAATGTTGGGTTATCAACAAAAGCACGGAGGAGGAAGCGAGAGCGGAAGGCACTTTACCGGAGGGGTTGTTGTTAGAGACGTCAAGAATTTAAGGAATAGTATCTACGATAGAGGGGAGAGGAACGACGACGGTCCGGCGGTGGAAAATAAATTAAAGGAATTAGGATTTTCATAATTTTTATAATAATTAGGTGGAACTAAAAAAATAATTAAATTTTATTATTCTTTAATTGTCACTTCACTCATTTAATGGTTAATTATGTGAGTTGACCATCACATCAGCAAAAGTTAACGGAGACTAACGGTCAGTGACCAAACCTGAACTGTTAACCTAATTTAAGTGATTGCAGATCGAATAAATTAATTTTAGTGGCAAACATGACATTTTAAATTAATTCTAGTGAGAAAATTTGCAATTTAGTTAATTACGCTAGTTTTCATTACTATTGTCTACTACATGCACAGTCTAGGGGTGTTCAAATGGTTACCGTGGTAATAACAAAACCAATTAAGCAAAAATTTCATTAACCTGGAATAAAATGTCTTAACCAAACCGTCCAAATTAACATGAAAACCAAATTAACCAAACCAAAGTTTAATTGATTTGATTAATCGGATTAACCAAATAACATAACATTACATGAAAATAACTATCTTCTTAATGAATAAAACATAACCATATGTTATTAATATCATAAACTATCATTATATATAAGCAATAATAATAAGACTAACCATCCATGATTATCATCATCATTCGAGTTAATATATCATTCATCACCTATGCACCTAATATAGTTAGCTTACAACAAACTCTTAACATAAATATTAAAATACATACCAATACCACTCATTAGGAAATTAAGGCTCTCCTACAAAACACTTAAACTATACATAGTTGGAGCCGACTGTCATGGTACTGTACGTAATCATGAAGTCTAGTAGCTGTCCAAAATGTTTTGGTTTAGTAAATAGGCAGACCCATTTAATTTTTGACCCATAATGCTTTGGTTTGTTGTGCACATGAAAAGAAAATAGGGAATTACCAAAGTTTGGTTTGGTTGGTTGCGTGGAAGTATAAATAATTATGTATATTACGTGTATCATTAATTGGTTAATTGGTTTCATTGGTTAGCAGTTGAAACCAAACCAAACCACCTAAACCAAATAAGCTAAATTGTTTAACCAAACCAAATCAATTATCCAAATTAACCAAACCAAATTAACAGAATGCTACTAGTTAATATGGTTACCACGGTAATCAATCCATTTGAACACCCCTAATACACACTAACTCACAAATCATTCATACGAATTGTTCAATATTAAAGATAAACATTCACAAACAACATGATTAATTGAACGTGTGAGGAATAATTAGTTTAGAAATTATATTTATTAGTTAAAGGTTTCGTGGGTCGTGGGGGGTATGAACTTTGGTGCGGGTATCCACAGGTTGGATATGAATAAACCTAAACCCAACACAACCCGCAAAAAGTATAACGACTTTAAATCCAAACCCAGCCCGTAAACCGTCAAAGCGGGTTTTACCCGATTGACTGGTTGGGTCGGGTATGATATCAATGAATTCGGGTTCTATTGCCATCCCTAATTGGAGCTATTGTTAACACCATACTAACAAAACAAGTATTAGCACCTTAGCCCCTCTACTATAAGTGAATTGCCCACTCCAATAAAATTGTTGGATATTCACGAGCTTGTGATAATATTTTTAATATTCATGAGTATGGTCTCAAACACATGCAATTAAATCCTTATTGCCTAAAATTAAACTTGTACCTGATTCGTTGGCCGGGTAATATTTGTAACAAAATAATTTTTGGCGGTAGAAACATGAACGGTATTATTTTTTTCCGAATTGAAGCTACTAAAAATCTACTACATGATCTTACTAAAAAAAAATCTACTACATGATAATTTTGATACTGAACTTAATCCAATTCCACCACACCAAAAACAATTAAGAGTTCTACTGAATTCACTTAGGTGTAATTAAATATTTATAAATCATAATAACTGGGTTAATTGCCAATAAATCGACTCATTCTTATCCACATATCATTGTTTATAACTCTTTAATTTAGTATAAGACGATATTATACAGATTGCTTAACCTAATTTTTAAAGGCTTACTTGCATATTAACGTAAATCTTCTATCAAGATACCAATAATCATTGATTTTTTTATTAAAATTCTATTACCAACATGTTTGGGTCTTGTTGGCATACAGCATTTCAACGAAGGAAGCTAAACCATAATATTGTTCTAATGTTTCATATGAGAAAGGATGCCAATTCTAATCATCACTCTTTAACCTGAATCTCAGTTTCTAATTTATTAAATAACACCCAACAATAAAACTACACTTATATATCACCGTCGTAACAAAAACTAAAACAAATGTTAAGATTATGAGGTAGATATTTACCGATTACCGTCAATGATTATTTATGATCAAACGTGTGAGGAGGGGATAAACCCTCAAATCTTTATAGACTTTGCTCAATCTCATCTCCTGTCATTTTCTCCATCAATCAAATACAAATGAAATTCGTTAATTACACCTTATATATTCGCAGTGACACGTCCTCTTTTCCCACCCAATACCTTCTTTGTGGCGTGGCGTCCGTACGTTTTGGAGGCCCGATTTCCTGTTTTGGTTAAACATTTGAACGTTGCAGTTCCGAATTTTCAAACGGGTTTGAGTTTATTATGGTGAAAAAATCAAAGGTTAGACAAAACAAGGCCTAATGGTAGGGTTGTGGGAAAACATGATCGTAGACTACTCCAACTGTTTGATAATGATGTGTGCGGAAGGGGTTGTACAACAAGTGCTCATCATCTGATCACATCAACACCACACATGATCGCTTATTTCTCGAGGAAAATCATTATATATATTCACCATTCTGCTCAACTACAATTTGGATATGGCTCTCGCCGTCTATATTTGAATTTGAGAGCGTAGTCATAACTCATAAACGTGTAGGATCATCAGATAGTGAGTAGACGTTTCGTGACAATTGGATGAACACATTACAATTTTGTGTCACCATGTTCATTCAACGATTGCAAAACTTTGACTCACTACCCGATAATTTTACACGCCTATGAGTACATTGTCACGCCAAAATAACTTATTCATCCAATTACAGATGGAAACAAACGGAGAGATAAGTGACCTCCCAACTTCTTGCCTCTCTTTAACTCTCAAATTCAAGGACATTGTAGATGTATTCCAAGTAGAGTTGTCAAAATGTAACCTGACCCGCAACCCGATTTGACTAAAAGTCAATGACCCATAACCCGCCCGATCGATCTGCAACCCGATCGACCCACAACCCGACCAACCCACAACCCGATCGACCCGCAAACGGACCAACTTGCAACCCAATCGACCCACAATCCGACTAACCCGCAACCTGACCAACCCGCAACCCGACTAATCTGAACTCGTAACCCGACCAACCCGCAACCCGACTATAATAGAAGGAATTCGATGAAGATAAACCAAAAGTTGACATTTGAAATTCTAGTTCACTAAAGTCTGATCATTACATCATCAATTATTAACTTAGTATAATAATATAGATCATCAACCTATTAACGCATATAATATCATCAAATATTTATTTAGATACATCATCAACCTAATAGTGCACATAACATTATAAAATATTAATTTAGCATAATAAGATAATTATAAGATATAAAATCCAAATATCATGGTCCTGTCATAAAAAATAAGACATGACTCATAATAGTCCATATTGTCTCAAAACCTCAAATATCCATAAAAACATGTCAAAAAACAAATTG